TTCTCTTACTCTTACATTCAGTACTTTTTTTTTTTTTTTTCTGGAAACAGTCTTTCTCTGTCACCCAGGCTGGAGTGCAGTAGTGTGATCATAGCCCAACACAGCTTCAAATTTCTGGGCTCAAGTAATCCTCCCGCCTTAGCCTCCTGAGTAGCTGGAACTACAGGTGCATGTCACTGCACCTGGCTATTTAAAAAATTTTTTTGTAGAGATGTCTCGCTATGTTGCCCAGGCTGGTCTTAAACTTCTGGCCTCAACTGATCCTCCTGCTTCGAACTCCCAAAGTACTGGGATTACAGCATGAGCCATTGTCCCAGCTTGTACTCAGTACTTTCTGAGTGAATGAATAAATGGGGAGAATGGAGGCTTGCAATCTCAAAAACCCTATTCCTTGGAATCTTTTCCCTCAGCCTTAGGGAAAAAAGTTTGCTTATACTTTTGGGTGAAGTGGGTCTCATCATTTATTTCTACTGGATGGGTTATCTGCCTACTGTGAGTGCTTATTAAGGACTTTAAACAGGTAACAAATGATCCTGCAACATGGTTAGAAGCAGGTGCTCTGGAAACCAGGCATGGGTGATACAAAACTCTGCTGGGGAGAACAGGGCCTTGTTCTAAAAGCCCTTGGCCTAGAGCACTGCACTGATCTCACTAATGATTTCTGTCTGCTGCCCTTCAGACCTACCAATTACTTACTGTTTTTCCCAAATGGGAGAATAACCAATATTTTAAGACTTAGAATTTTTAAAGACTCAAAATATTTAAGGGATCAAAAGGGTTTAAAAGGAAAAATAAATGGATATTCTGAAGTTTCTCCAGTGGCAAGCTCTCCTTGAATTTAACCAATCCTTTTAAACAACCCCTTTTCCACTCAATCATTCCTCCCCCTTCAACCTAATCCAAGTACACAGAGCTGCAGGAAACCACCGTAAAAGTAGAAGTAATTCAAAAGACATCATCTCCTACATGGGAGGGGAGAAAGTTTCCCTACTCGCCAGTCCCATATAGGAGATATACGAATGTGTGACACAGCTGCTCCCTAAAAGAGGGCTGTGCCCTATAAATCAGATCCTAAGCACCAACCCCTTTTGGTGCACAGAAAAATTGCTATGGGTCAGGGGCTGCTCCAGAGCACGTGCCCTCCTGTTCACTTGTCATCAGAGATGTTAACATCTCTGATTAATTCATATAGCCCTTATTTTATCCGCCATTTCTTTACCCTTGCTCTCTTGCTCTGCTGCAGTGTGAAGATTCTTACCGACCTGCTACAGTAATCACCGCCTGCTAACTTCACCCCCCGAAACCTAGTGAAATTGTTTAGTGATGCCAACCGCGCTTTTAATTTGCAAGACATCAGACACAGAGGTAATTTATACCAACATCTGTTCATTTTTGACTTCTGAAACTAACTCGCACATGCTGCCACAAAATCCCATTAGGAGTAGGGAGACAGCCTTCTGCTACTATTCTGTATTCCTCATCTACACACACACACACACATACACACATTCCAGTAGGGTTTTATATATAAATGTATTTTACTAAAAATCTCCCACCAAGGATTTCAAATCTCCTTGGGGAAAAACCTTAGAGATGGCTACTGCCTACTTACAGAGGAGAGAAAGATACTTCTATTTCCCCATGCCTAGTTCTGTCCCTTCTTCTTCCCAACAGTTACAACTTGGTATAATTCTAGAATAAATGGCCAGGGTAAGATTACATGTTCTTCAGGACTTCCAGTTCCTCCCCTCTCTTGGTTCTTTTTTGCCCACAATGTGTTATATAGAAAACAATTCTAGAGACAACAAGATTGCTCTAGACAGTTTCATCTAGTCAGTGAGATCTGTTAATTATTTTCTGATTCTGGATTTATTTTCTAGGATTACAAGGTTCAAGAGGAAGGCAACACCACTCCCATTCTAGTAACTATGCCAAGAGGGATCCACTGGTCATCAGCCACCATGGTGTATGCTATGCAGAAAAGAAGCATGATCCCCATGTTAAGCCATGATTTACAGGTCCTCTTATGTTGTGCTTAGACCACAAATTGAAAAAGCCACAACTGAGACTGTCACCATAGGGTTAACACGTGAATTGCTGCAGAGAGTGTGGAGAGGGGACTACTCATACACATTGAAAGGCAGCAAATGGATAAACTACAATCAACTTCCGGGTTTACACAGTTTCTATTACCCTCTTTGCAGTTTCTCTAGGGCTGTCAGGTTCATGGCAGCTGTAAATACCTGGGTATACTTAGAGAGGTCAGGGCTGAAAGGAGGGCTCCATCCTGCTTTCTCTGAAGGTGGTGTGTGGTTTAATATAATTTCTTCTTTAGATCCTCCAATTCCTCCATCCTACGTTTAGCCTTGCCTCTGGCTCCCTTTCCACAATGACTATCCCCAAACTGCCTTCTCTGCAGTAAATTTTCCGGTGGCTAGTTGAAAAAGATTCAGTGGTACAGATTGATTTCTCACTGGTGAGGGGATGAGGGATTATCAGAGGCACCCTGGTTAACAAGATTGGG